CATTACCTTTCTTGTACTTCACAGCTCGTATCAGATGGTGGAGATCAAGGGGCAGGCATCACCGGTGTCATGCCAGTGCTCACAAAGTTCGGACCGGATTCCAAAAAAAAAAAGAAACAAAAGGGTTCCGACCGGCGCCACGGAGGTTCATAGCACATAGTGGGCCAAGTCCCACTAGCAGCATTGAGCTTCCTCAACGACTGAATGTGGACATGTTGGTCGAGATGTGCAGAAATCGAGTTGAGTTTCCTCAACCGCACCTCTCCACAAACACGTCCAGATTCGGGCGTTGAGGAAACTCAAAGCTGCTAGTGGGACTTGGACCCGTAACGATATTCAGTTCAGGGCAAGATAACACCGCCGGGGGCTGGAGTGCTGATATTCAGACCGGATTCACAGGCGGTTTCGCTAACGATTCTCGTTTCTTCCTCTCTTTCAGACCCTGCATCCGAGGATTCGATCTCCTCACATGTCCATCGCCGACAGTTACATGTCATTATGGATTGCGCCATCGTCCCAGGTATTTCGCTAACGATTCAAATGTCAAATGGTGTGGTTATTCATCCCCCAAAAAAAAGAATAAAAAAAAATTCATTCGATTCAAATGGGATACAGCAGCTGCGGTCGCGCCTGAGCGAAGTATTGTCCGTAGTCCGGAAGTCCCGGCAGACATAGTCAGCCAGGAAGGGGGGAACCAGGAGGGGGGGGTCGGCGGGGGGGGCGCGCAGGACTGGGTCGGCGGGGCAGCACACTGCGCGGGCGATCACCGCACGGCTAGAAAAGAGGCAAGATGCGCGGGCCGGGGGGGTGGAAGGGCGGCCTTCCGCGGTCCCGACCGGGATCCCAGGCGGTCATTCCTTCCGTGTCAATCTGGACCCGCCGACTCGCCGACCCGCCGACAGTGGGCGATCCCGGTTGGACAGGCGCGAGGGAGGTGGCAGCGGCAGCAGCGGCGGGGGAGCTGCACTCCTGTCGACCTGGCGCACACTACCAATCGCTCGCTCGCGCTGGGGTGTATGCCATCGCAGTCGTGTCCGTCGCCCAATCCAACTCACAGCGGCGCTCCTGACATGCGGATTATGATTGCTCCCAATCGCTGCAAATCTCTCGGAATCGGTGGATGCGATCGGTGAAATCGATGGTTGCTTTGCGTCGAAGCTTCGGATTGGATCGGTGGTGGTGAAGGGAGGGAAAATTGGTCGACGTTGGAGGAGGAGAGGAAAGAGAAGGCAAGCGTACAGCCGTTACGATGAAGAGCCCCCCTCGATGCTGCTGATGATGAAGAGGAGACATATCCACCTCTGAAGAGCATGTTGCACTGTCACGGGTGAGTAAGAGCAGGTGCTACTTGTTGTCGTTCTGCCTCTGTTCTCAACGCCCTGCCCTCTTCGCCGCGGAACTGCCATTGCTGCATTCACACACACACACACACACACACACACACACACACACACACACACACACACACACACACACACACACACACANCACACACACACACACACACACACACACACACAGAGAGAGAGAGAGAGAGAGAGAGAGAGAGAGAGAGAGAGAGAGAGAGAGAGAGAGAGAGAAGTGGAGCGTGACGTTGGGGTGAAGAAATCGAGGTGGGTTTAAAGGGAATCTTCGCGGAGCATGCACATCTGTTTACCTCCAACTTCGATCTCCTTTCTCATTTGAGTCCTTCTTCTTCTTCTTCTTCGTTTTCTTGTGGCGTCCTTTTCGTTCTTCGTCTTCTTCTTTTTCTTGTTGCTCCTGTGTTCTCTCTCTCTCTCTCTCTCTCTCCACCTTAGATCTGTTGTTGGCCATAAGTCATCCGAGGTAACATGGGTGCGGCATTAGTAGCTCACTCGTTTGTTTCCCATTTTCGACCGATATATTTGTTATGGATAGCGGCATCCGCTTAGAGGTGGTATCAGGTTGATTCTTTGTAATATTGCTATTCTCTGAAATTCCTTTTAATAGTCTCTTTACTCATGGGAAATAGCCCTTAGCATCATCCAATTGGGGATCTAAACTGTGCAAATGGGGATCTAAACTGTGCTTCCTTTTCCGTTTTTTCCCATGATTATGATTACTTAGCGGGATAGCCCATCTAAACCTTGTGGAATCCGGGATTTGAACTCTCTCGTCCTCTTTGTCAGGATCTTGGGATGTGTGCCATTCAGCAAAGAGGCAGTTGTAATAAATTTGCAAGCTTCGGAAGGCAAATTAACACTACCGACAATGGCGATGGATAAGAAGGGAAAATGCATTTCACACAAGCAGTTTCCTCTGGACGTATCCGGGCGGAATTACGACCGGATTCGGTAAAAGAACTCGTGTTTATGTCCTGATTTGGCAGTTTCAATGGGGTAAGGCCTCTTGCCGGTGATGATGATGATGATGGTGATAATGATGATGGTGATGATGAGGATAATGATTGCCATGACTATGATGATGGTCACGGTGCGAATGATGCTCTACTATCATTTCATGGCTTACGTATGATCGTGGCTGGATGTGGGATCGACCTTCTTTTTTTCTTTTTTCTTTTTTCGGTGTTTGATGTGGGATCGGTCTTAAGCCATCAGATCGGAGGCCGGATTTTGCTGAAATTTGCAGATCAGTTGATCTCCTGGACCGGATTAGGATTAACCAAACTTAGCCTCGGCTTTTTTTCGTTTCCCTTTTTTTGTTGTTGTTGCTGTAAATCGTGGCGGAGTTCCTCTTCTTGGTCTCCACACAGGACTCTCCATTCTGTTTCTAGTTCCCCCTATCCTTCTCTTCTCTTCCCCCCTACTCTCTCCCTTCTCCCCATCCCTCCCTCTTTTCCCCCCCGCCCCCCCCGCGCCCCGTCCCCCCCGGCCCCTCTATGGACTCCGACTATCCCCCTCAAAACATAACGAACACGCTTGGATTTAGAATCAGAATGTGAATCTGAATCGTAATCGGAATCCGAATGGGATTGCCGCGCAGGGATGGATAGGATGTGATCTTTTGATTTACTGACCAGAGGGCCTGTACCCCAAATTGCGGTTGATGTATTTTGACGAAAAAGGAAGCAATCCTCGAGAACAACTGCCCACAGATGACCGAAATGGGATAATTTCCTAAAATGCGTAGTATCTACTATGATGTCCTAGGTCAATCACAATGCCAGGGTGCTGAGAAACATGCGTAGTCAATCATTGTCTGCCTCTACGTCTGCTTCTCCGAATCATTGACAACCCCGCTTGATTGTCTCTGGCATTTTTGGTCTCGCATGTCTTGAGCGCATTAACTGTCGATCAGTCTTTATGACAGAAAACGTCAGCTTCATTCAATTTGAACCTCAGCTTTTGTTAGATATACACGGTGGCTCGCTAAGTGGTGGTGTTCTCTCTTTTTTACCATCCGATATCTGGGATTGACATCAATCAAGCTCCTTTTTAGATCAGCAACAGTGCATGCAGTCAATCGATTGATTGATTGATTGATTGGTTGATTGGTTGAGTGGATGAATGGATGGATAGGAGAAAGAGTTGTGATGAATGGGTAAACGGACGAATATCGATGAGTGATTGCTGGATGATGGAAGGATGAACGGATGGATGGATGATGGAAGGATGAACGGATGGATGATGGAAGGATGAACGGATGGATGGATGATGGAAGGATGGATGATGGAAGGATGGATGATGGAAGGATGAACGGATGGATGATGGAAGGATGATGGATCGATGAGTGATTGAAGGATATGATTGATAGATGATGGAAGGATGATTGATGGATGATGAATGGATTGGGTAATCAAATTTCTTTAAGGACGGGCAGATGTTTGGGTTCGACTGATTGATTGATGATTGATGGATAGAGAGGGGGCGATAGAATTTGAGAAGGGGAATTTAAAGTCGACTGGAGGCGCGTGCAGAATATGGAAATATGAGATAGTATGGAAATATGAGATAATATCCTTTCTTTTGATATAATAATTGTTTTGTTACTGGGCAATAGGAAGTTGAGTGATTCACTGGCGATGTAAAACCTTGTTCGTCACAGGAGCGGTCTGTCTGGGTCCGATCTGAAATCCCGAGACCATTTCAATGGTTTGTCTTATGTCTCTTTGATTGATCGAGTGAGTGATTGAGTGGGGGGGGGGTTGATCGATCAATTTTGATTTTGATTGATCGATGGATTGTTGATTGATTGATCGATTTTGATTGATTAATAGGTTTTGAGTGGTTGATTCATTGATTGACAATCTGGGTACACATTGATTGATTGACGACTGGCCGACCAGGGCGGAGGGAGGCTCCTGCATCACCATCAATTGGGCGCACCGGAGAGAGAGAGAGAGAGAGAGAGAGAGAGAGAGAGAGAGAGAGAGAGAGGAGGGAAGAATGGGATCGTTTTGTGTGTCGACGTCGCACGTAGCCGGTTATTTGTCAGAGGCGATCGGCATTGTGAGGCGGACTACTGAATGGGATTTTGCATTTCGACAAAGGAGTTGGAGCCGGTGGAGTGGACGTGCCAGTAATTGAATCGGCTTGTTGTTTTCCATCGATAAACTCGCCGCCGAACGCCTTTTTCTTTTTTCCGAGTTTCTGGCTTCTTTCTGCTCTCGTGGCGAGGGTGGAACTCGCGTGCCATTGTCCCGACGGGTGGAGAATGTGGCATGCGCTCCCACCTTGCCATTGTCCCGACGGGTGGGAGCGTTACTGTCTCTAAGCATCAACCTTCCAATTCAGAACTAGTCCTCTTCCTCTCTCTTCCCCCCCCCCCGCAGATCAACCTCTCTATCTCTTCGTCAAGGACGTGTTCGATTCCGTCCCGCCCACGACTGATGGGAAGAGGTAGTGTAGTGGGAAGTGGTAGTGTAGTGGGAAGAGGTAGTGTAGTGGGAAGTGGTAGTGTAGTGGGAAGAGGTAGTGTAGTGGGAGGAGGTAGTGTAGTGGGAGGAGGTGGCGGTGGGCGCGAGCACACTGTGCGGGGCAGGGGAGCGGAATCCGGACGTGGGCGGAATCCGGGCGGAGTGCCGGGGACTACTAGTAGCCCCCCGTCGACTACCTTGTCAAGAATGCTATCTTGTCGCAGAGGACTCGATCTTCCCCGCGATCGCCTCGTTCCTTCTCCTTCGTTCTCTAAGCACTACGACCGCCGATCGTCGGCTGTTGGCGATGGCGTCGACGGCGCTACCGTTCTGTTCAAGTATGAGGAGGAGGATGACAGCAGGTGGTTGTCGTCGACGTCGAGACTCTCTACGACGCCTTCGTCACGCCATCTGGCTTCCTCCTCTCATTCCTGCTTGTCGGGTAGGAACCACCCCTCTTCTTCTGTGGCGCCGCCCTGCTCACCATCTTCATCTTCTCCATCGCCGTCTTCTTCAGATTGCTCTTCGCCATCCTCTTCGTCCTTGGGGACCATGCTCGTAGTTGGCGACGCGCGCAGTGGTAAGAGGTCGCTCGTCGAAGCTCTTTCTTCGTCGTTCGCATCTGCTTGTTCATCTTCTGCCTTGCCGACCTCTCTGCCGTGGACCTCCTCCTCCTCCTCCTCCTCCTCCTCGTTCTCCTCGGCCTGCCGCACGCCAATGAAACTGCCGTTCTCGTCCTGTGGCAGATCTACGGTCGTCGATCGGAGCTCGACGAGAGGTCATGATCACCTCCCTCGATCTGCCTCCTCCCCCTCCTCTGGTCCGACATCGCTCTCCCCCTGCTCGTCTTCGCGCTTCGCTTCTTCGGGACCCTTAGAGTTCCACTGCATTTCAGTCTCCTCCGCCATTCAGAATCAGCACTGCAAGACAAATCATTCGAATCTGGCGGCGACGGCAGTCCGAGCGTCGGCGGCGCCCGTTCCCGCCGGTGGCTCTTCGGTGCGCCACAGGCCGTCCACCCATTCCCTCTCTTCTGGTGTTGCTGCCGCTGCTGCCGCTGCTCCGAAGGATAGCCAGCGCGGGCAAAGTGATGACTGCGCGTGCTTTTTGAGCGTGTGGAATGTGAGGGATAGATCGCTGCTCAAGCTAGCCGTGAATCCGGCGGCTATGGCGTCGACGGTCGCGGTCATCGTCGTGGATCTGTCGAGGCCATGGGAAGCGTTGACGTCATTAGAAAAGCACGCGGAGGCGCTGCGCGAGACGGCTTCGTCCGCCGCCAGGACCGTTCGCGAGATGGCTGCGGGATCAAGAAGAAGCGCAGGGGTGGGACTTGTAGGATTACCGGCGGGAGGCGGCTCCGTCTGCCGTCAAGGAGTAGGGGCGTTGGGATCTGGAGGATCAGCAGGAGGCGGGGGGGGGGAGGAAATATTGGCGGGAAGTTCATCGAAGTTAAAAATAGGAAGATTCAGCTCGTTTGACTTGCCCTCCGACGTGGGCGTCGGGACTAGGAGATCGCTCTCCGCCGATCTGAGTTCTCTGTATGGAGGCGCGTACCGCCAACTGGATCGTAGCGCACTGGGTTCGGGGGTTGCTCTCCTTGAAGGAGGGGTAGGCGGCAGAGGAGGCGGAGGAGAGGGGAGGAGGCGGGAAGATTCACGGATGTTGTTGTCGAAGAAAGTGCACGGCATCAACAGGTCCCCGACATGCTCCCCGGCCAAGGGTGGTGTGCGAAGGGTGAATAGTTTGGGCGGGTTGTGCCGATTCTCGACCGCCAGTGCGGCTGCGGACGGCGATATTCGAATGGGGGGAAGGGAGGGAGGGCAGTGGCTGCGGGGGGAAGCAAGTGGAAAAGACGATGGCCGTTGGGGAAGAGGAGGGGGAGGCGCAGGCGAGGGCCGCGAGGAAGAATGCAGCATCAAGGCGATCGCTACAGCGACGAGGAGCAGAGGTGATGACGGCGGCGATGAGCGGCCACTCAGTGCGGGAGCAAGCGCATGCGGTGATGCAAAGATGCAGATGGTGGTCGTCGGGACCAAGGCCGATCTTCTAACGGCGACGGCTCTTCATGGTGAAGGCGATCACGCGGCTTTGCAGGTATACCTGCCCTTTTTCTTTTGTCTTTTTCCCCTTTCTCTTACCGCCTAATAGAACCTTAGTACTGCTTTTCTGCCTGCCTGTGCCTTCCTTCCTGCCTGCCTGCCAGCCTGTACTCCTGTCTTCCTGTCTTCCTCCCTTCCTGTCTGCCTGTGAGCCTGTCTGCCTGTCTGTGCCAGCCTGTACTCCTGTCTGCCTGTCTGCCTGTGCGCCTGTGCGCCTGTCTTCCTGTCTGCCTGCTTGCCCTCCCCTTCGGCGGTAGGCGTGTTTCGTCCTCCCCTCGCGTTTTTGCCCTTTACTATCGTAACATTGGGCATCGCTGCACTGCACAGCACTCGACATGCTTTTGGCCGCTTTCTGGACCAGCTTCTTTCGGACGAGTCCAACATTTTGAATGCGCCGGGTCGAGGCAGCGCGCCACGGAGAGACTGGAGTTCGGTATGCTGCTGCGGCTTGTTCCCTGCCCAGCACTTGGAAAACACCACGATTATCTTGAACAGGTGTTTCCTGGTTTATCCATCTCTCAGGTTGTTTGTTCGCGTGTCGCGTGTTTGTTTTTGTCGGTTTGTTTTTTTTCTGGGAGTCGAACTTCGATTTGCGGTTCTTTTGCGAGATTGATCGGACGGCTGGCGATCGAGTTCTGGTGGTCCCCTTTGCGGACAGGATTTACCATCGGGTAACAATTTTTTTACCATCGGGTAACAAATTTGACGGGTTCTTCAATGCTTCGTCATCACCATCGGATCACACCGAGGGCGAGGTTCGCCAATGGCGAAGAGGAAGCATTGGATTAAGTACCTGAATCTGGATGTGTTTTATGCAGAGATGCAGAGTAGCAGATCAATCGCGATGTTCAGCACCTCCCCACAATCACGTCCAGATTCACGCTTTAAATCCAACCACTTTTTGCTAGGGAACCTCGTCCTGGCAGATCCGTCGACTCATCGACTTACACAGTAGCTGCTCGTGCTTTTCTTTCGGCTTCTTTTCGTTTTTTCGTTTTTTTCTGCTTTTTTTTGTTTTTTTTGTTTATTTTTCTGTTTGTTTTTTCCCTCCTTATGAGTTTGGGACCTCCTTTCACACTGTCCCTCTTTTTTGCAGTTGTGCAGGCATTTAAGAAAATTTTACTTCAAAAAAAATGTGTTCAGTAATTTATATTCAATAAAATTTCGGGAAAATTTTCCATCTAATGCAGACGAGGCACCGAATCGATAGTACCCTTGGAGTATACACGTCATTAGTTTTTGCTTTATTGTTTGTATTGCAGTACCACTTTTTAAAAGTTTTTCTTTGTACGGGCTTGAGGTACAAATAGCATACCTTTAGTAGTCTGACTTTTTGAACGATGCGCTCGGACTTTATGATACTAGCGAAATTTTAAATCCAAAAAAAAACGTTAGAAAAGAGCATGCACACGTTGGCGTACTCAAGTAGGACTTTTTGGACGGTTTCTGACTGTATTAGTGGCCAGGTACAGTCAGATAGCCGTGAGTATGCCCTTACTTTTTATCAGGTCAGGTAGCGCCTGCATGGTGCTTTCTAGATGGAGATCTTCCTGTACCATTAGGCGAACAATTAATCCAGAGCCTTGGGCTTTGACCCGGCATTCTTTCACTTAGCTAAACCACCAGTACACGGCCGCAGCCTTGCAGCAAAATGACTTGTCGCCAGAAGAAGTAAAAGGCTGGCTCGGGGCGGGGTCGGGGTCGTCGGAGGGTTTTCAAAATTTTGGGCCCGTGTCAAAAATTATGTCCCAAAAAACAAAACAAGCTTTGGCTGTGATTGCAGTTGGATACGCTTTTTGGAGTACTGCCCTCAGTGAGGGCACTTCGGAAGAACGAGGAACACGGGGAGCCAGACTGTTAGGGTCTCGTTAGACACTCCTAAAAGAATCCTAAAATTTTTAGGACAGTCCTAAAGTTTTTTTAGGATTTCGTGCATCGTGGTTACATGCATTCCTAAAAGACCATCGTTTATGACCAGTCCTAAAAGAAAGTTGTAATTGAAAGGAAAAAAATAAAAGAAAAAAAGTCATGCTTCAGGGTTGCAGCCAATAGGGTGCACCAGGAGTCCAAGACAACGGAGCCATGCGCACGTCGCCACGACTCCGTTAAACGCGGGAATCCTACAAATTTCAGTAGGTCGGGGGCTACTGAAAAATTTAGGACGAATTTGCCTGGCGAATCCTAAATTCTTTCGGATTCGTCCTAACGCCGTTTTCACATTTTCGATCTCGAAATCGGATTTAGGATCGCGTGCAAAGACAATGCAATCCTAAAAACAGGCATTTTTAGGAGTGTCTAACGAGACCCTTAGACTCACAAAAAAAGAACAAAAAAAAAGAAAAGCCAACAAAGCTTTGGCCGTGAAATGGTTGGATGCATTTCAACGGCCCTAGTGTGAGTATGCCCTCAGTGATGGTTGAGCAAGAGGAATAGGCGTTGCCTTGCTGGCAAGGAAAAAAGTAAAAAATAAAAGGAGAAAACAGGAAAAAGCAGCAATGTTTTCCTCTCCCCGTAATAGTGGTCAGATGCATTCTGGAAAGTGATCGTTTGAGTATGGCCTCTGTGACATCCTTCCACGACATCATTGATCTCTGGCATGTTTTTTCCTTTTTCTTTTTTTTTTTTTTTTAGACCACCGGCACCGGTGCCACTTCCGAAATTCCCACTGCAGGTACCCTCACGCCGGAGGCTCGGAAAATAGCGGCGCGCAGTGGGCAGGTAGCTTCGGGATTTTAGGTGCGGGTGTACTGGTGGTTTAAGGTACGTTCAGGAAAAAGTTGACATCCCACACTGGTACCGCAGGTCTCGGGTGAAAAAAAGAAACCGGAAAAAAAAGAAACCGGAGAAAAAGAAACCAGAAAAAAAAGGAATTGGCTGTTTCTTCTCTCGAACGGTTGCGTGTTGGTGCCACCGCAGGCGCGGGGCGGGTAGGATTCTGGAAAAGTTCTGTACCCCCTACCCCTGGCCCAGAAAATCGACGTTACCTCAATTCCTTTTTTTTTTTTTTTTTTTTTATCCTCCTTGTCCGCATACCTGTTGGCATGCAGTCCCTTTCGCCGTTCATCATTCTGCAAAAGCCCCTGCGCCGTCGACCCTCTGGGGGCAGAATTTTCTTTCATGTGCAGCACTTTTCCTATTTTGGTGAAAGTGTCCTGTCGGGTCAGCCCCTTATTGATGCTTCAAGCCAATCTGCGCTCCCTCAATACCAAGGCGTACCACCTACACCAGAGGCAGGACTCAAAACTCTCTCTCTCTCTCTCTCTCTCTCTCTCTCTCTCTCTCTCTCTCTCTCTCTCTCTCTCTCTCTCTCTCTCTCTCTCTCCCCTTGTGTGTGCCCGGTAAATCATGGGCAGAGAGGAAGAAGAGGACAACAAACGAGGGGCTGTGACAGACTGTTTTGTCGGAGTTTCATGTGTATCATTGGTTAGAGGACTCTAGAGACTTTAGAGTGTTCAGCCTCCTGATGAGTCAGTCAGTGACACTCCGAGGGAACAGTTTGTCGCCCCCCGCCCCTTGTCTCTCTTTCTTGTCCGTTTCTCCCTTTGTGGCTGAGTATGTTCACCGGGCAGTTCTCTTTGACTCACAGCCCCTCGTTTGTTGTGTTCTTCTCCTTCTCTTCTC